GAAAAATCTGGTCATTGATTAATCACGATCCTGCTTAAAGCGCTTGACGTAAAAAGCTGATTTTTGGAAAACAGATTGACTTTAGGGTGTAGAGGTTCGATAAGAAGGGATTTTTCGAAACTCGAATTCTAAGGGGGTGAAACTATCTCTTAAATATTAAAATATTTTTTATTTAAAAACCCGTGAGTTTTTTGGAAAAACTCTTAAACATGTATATTTTATTTTGTTGTTTTACATATTTTAAGATTTTTTATAAATTTATACAGGGTGTTTCATAAAATATGACCATTAAACAACTTAAACTGCTTGACGTTTAAAGCTGATTTTTGGCAAAACAGATTGACTGTGGGGTGTAGAGGTTCGATAAGGAGGGGTTTCTCGAATCTCAAATTCCAAGAGGGTGAAATCGCCCCTCAAGTATTACAATATTTGTTATTTAAAAAACGGTTAGTCTTTCGGGAAAACGCTTGGACAAGCATAATTTATTTTGTTTTTTTACATATTTTGAAATTTTGAAAAAATCATACACGGTGTTCCAAAAAGTTGGGTAATTTCTTAACCACGATTCTGCTTAAACTCCTTGATGTAAAAAGCTTATTTTTGGCAAACGGACTTTTCGAAAGTCAAATTCCAACGAGATGAAACTACCCCTCAAATATTACCAAGTTATATAATAATATCGCCATATTGTTTTTTTCACATGCTGACATAAATGTGAGAAAATTTTATCCAGTTTGTATGTTAATGAAAATTCTTGCTTTGCTTTATCATCACCATTACAAATGATTAATTCGACGCGAACGAAGTCGCTGGTACACGCTAGTTTCTCAATAAATTTATAACAATCAACAGACAACAATGACTGTGTTGTGTGTGTGTTTAACAATATTATTCAATAAATTTGTTAAAAAATCAGAATTTTCTCATTAATTTTATATTTAACGAAACTCGGGCGAAGCTTGGGGTAACATTTATTTTTTTTATTTTTTTTTCACGAGCTTTCTCCACGTGTAATTTTAAATGGAAACTCCGCAGGGCAAACCAATATTTCCAGGGCTAGTACAAATAAGGGATGGAAGTCAAAGAGGGGTCGACTAATTAATTTCAGCGTTTTATTATTTGAATAAGAGCGTGATTTCCGGCTATAATTGCCTCTGACAACGGGGCCAGAATAAATTCTAACGGTCTTTTTTGCCATGGCTGACAGAGGAAACTTCAGCTTTATAGTTCATTACGTTTAATTATTTCGGTTCGTATTTTTGAGTAATTATGCAGTTTGTCGGAAATGCTCTTTAATTTGAAATTAATTCCACAGGTAATTAAGGTATTTCTGAAATATGCAACGTAGTTAGATATCTTGGATGAAGAAAGAAAAAACCGGATAAGTGTGAGAAGAAGAAACAAAAATATTTTTTTTTATTACCGTGAAAATATCGTTTAGAATGATCCAGAAAAAATCCTGGTAAAGTTTGAACTTTTAATATTGAGATGAAACGCCTATAAAAATATTTAATTTCGGAAAGGGCTAATATCGACTCTGAAATTCAGCACAGGATTAGCAGCGCCTCGAAAGCATTCTGGAAATTAAAAGACAGGGTTTTCTGACTTCAATCATGACTTGAGCACAAAAAAGAAACTTGCAGTGTACCGAGCAATAATAATTCCCACCATGTTATATGGAAGCGAAACCTGGGTGCCGTACCGCCGATACATGAACGCGTTAAACAAGTTGCAACAGAGGCATCTTAGACAGCTCTTAAGAATCAAATGGTTCCATCATGTCTCAAATGTATCAGTTCTTGAAAAAGTTAACTGCGAGAGAACGCCTTGCGTGACCATCTTGTGATGCGTGTCAAATACTCGTTAGCGAGTAATGGCAGTATGTATGTATGTATGAAACGCCTATTTAAAAATAAAGCATATTTTTTAAATTCAAAACATTAATTTTTAAGACAGCCTGTATATATATATAAACGGGATTTGGTTTAAGTATTTAATACTCATTTCCAACTACAGCCTATTGCTGCCTTCCCGTTACCTTACGCCACACATCTTGAGTTAGAGCGTCATCAGCTTCTAGGTTACGAGCTTCCATTGCTTCCGTAACCGTTCCGTTCCAGGATTTTCTAGGTCTACCTCTCTTTCTTCTGCCCTGGGGAGCCCATTGAAAAACTCTTTTTGGCCACCTGTTCTCCGGCATACGCAGAACATGTCCAAACCATTTTAAGCTGGATTTTTCGATTCGATCCAGTACTGTCTCCTCCGATGCATTCATGATACGCCTGACCTCGATGTTTGTCTTTTTTCCATCCTAGATATACCTGCACTTCTTTCTAAGGTAGTCCATTTCAACAACTTGGATTTTGCGCTTCGCGTCTGCACTCAGAGTCCACAGCTCTGAACCATAGCAAAGAACTGACTCCACCAATGTTCTTCCAAGTCTCTTTTTAGTTGTTGCAGATTAGTTTCGGTCCCACCAGAGGCTGTTAAGACATCCAATAACTTGTTTGCTCTTCTGAATTCGGGTTTGTATTTCTTCTTTGCCCAAACCCTCGTTGTTGATAGTAGCACCCAGGTATTTAAATTTGCCTACTTGTTGAATCTGGACGTTATCATTAATGAAGACTTCAAAACAAGACTAACTTCTTTAGACTAACCTGAAGTCCCCATTTGTTGTATTCTTGATAAAGCCTCTTAGTCATGAACTCTAGATCGTATGAGTCCTGCGCAATCACGACCTGATCGTCTGCAAAGTTCAGGGTAAATAGTGTTTTGTCCCCAATGGGTATTCCCATACCTTGACATTTCGTCTTCCATTCCCTAAGGGCTACTTCGACGTAAGCGTTGAAGATCAGAGGAGATAAGCTGCATCCTTGTCGCAACCCTTTTGTGGTGTTAATTGGATTAGATAGCCTGTGTCCTATCTTAACGTACGATTCATTTTCTTTATATAGCTCTTTTATTATCTTAAGCAAAGGTCTATCTACTTCTAAGATATTCAATACTTCCCATATCTTGCTGCGGGGAATAGAGTCGTACGCTTTCTCCAAATCAATAAATGCTAGATGGACTTCTTGATCTACTGCTATCTTTTTTCCATCACCTGCTGCAGGACAAAAAGGTTATCTGTGCAAGATTTCCCCGGTGTGAATCCGCTTTGGTCTTCCGAGATTTTGTCACCAATACTGTCCCTGAGCCTACCCTGTAGCACCTTTCCAAAAGTCTGCTGACCGAACTGTTAATGCTTAGGCCTCTATAACAAGTGAGGTCGTTACGATTCCCTTTTTAAAGATGGACACTATGTGAGCCACTCGCCATTCTCGGGGTAGTTTACTTTGCAGGCAGCACTGGTTAAATAGCTCTGCCAGACGCCAGCGCAGTCTTTGGGTTCCACACTTTAACAATTCGGCTACAATATTACCAGGACCTGGTGACCGTCCATTTTTCATTCTTTTGAGACTTTGATGTACTTCTCTTTCGCTTATCATTAAAGTGCCTGCAAGGTTGTTCTCATCTTCTACTGCTTGGAATTCTGGTCGGTTTTCTGTCAGTAATTCTGCATAGTAGTTGCGCCATTTTTCTATATCCATTCTATTCAAAGACAGCCTGTATACATAAATAAAATTATTGATTTTTAAAATATTATTCGTAAACTAGAGATAGGGAGGGGGAAATCAGACAACGAATAGAGATGATAGGTGTTATGTAATAGCTTTTAAACTACCATTCGAGACGCGTTGATGTAATTTTTAGTTCGTAAAATTTGGTTATTGTGACAAAGAAGGCTATTAAAGGTAAAGTAAATGTTTCCTCATTATTTAACTAATGTTAACTAAAGCAAATATTTTGGTTTTTCGGTTGTAATATTCTGTGCTCAAGCTTTTCCTTATTTATTTGATTTGACAAAGGTATTATCCAGTTTAAAATTAAATCTATATGCAATCGTTTACTATACATTCGTGCCGATGTTTTTGGTTCAGTATGACTTTTTGAGACACAACTTATGACAACAGTATGACTTTTTGACAGTATAATCTCACAATGTACCGTTTGTGTCGGGGAAGGGTTCATAGTTTCATAGTTGTCGATTTTCGAAAGAAATCAGTACATGTATATTATTTCGTATATTTTTAATTTTATTGATTTTATGGAAAGCACTGTTAATTAAAATGTCGTATCCTATGTTATAGGGCTTGTTTCTCTCTACAATTTCCTGTCTCACAATGTACCGTTTGTGTCGGGGAAGGGATCATAGTTTCGTAGTTGTCGATTTTCGAAAGAAATCAGTACATGTATATTATTTCGTATATTTTTTATTTTATTGATTTTATGGAAAGCACTGTTCATTAAAATGTTGTATCCTATTTTATAGGGCTTGCTTCTTTCTACAATTTCCTGTCTCACAATATAATAGTGTGACAATAAGGGTCTAAAGTAAAATTTCCCACCGTGCCTGGGCAAATATCTTCGCAAAAAATCAGTCAGAACCAATAAATCGTATAGAACCAATAACTCATAGTGTAAAGATATTGACACCGACCATATCAACTCTAGCTGAGTAGCCTCCCGAATTCAGGGACCTCAGTACCCCTTGTTGTCCCAAAATATTGCTTCTGTCGGGGCGCATCCGAGGTAATTACAATAAAAAATATTTTTAACGCAATTCCTTTAATTCATTTAAATTGTTTTTTATAGCGTTGGCCAAAATCTTACCTCTTAAACTTTGTTGGACGACCCTAGATATGAGTTAAAAATATTATAACTCATATGTTAATTTTTAACATACTTGTTGAAGAAATCTTGTATGCTGGGTCTTGCATAAATCTTGCAATATTCGATCTTCGTCTTACAGATCTAATGCTAGCTTTGCTCTTTGTGCAAGACCGAGAATACGGATTGAAACACTAAAGATATCAAAAATGCTTTGTTTATATTTCTTAATTTTACTTTTATTGACAAATTCTTTATGTTTTAATTGTTTTCTTTTTCTATTGTTTCAGACATTTCGCCATGGATTTCCTTACCAGCCCACAGCCATGGCCTTCGATCCAGTGCAAAAACTGCTGGCCATCGGATCAAAGTGCGGTTCCCTCAGGATGTATCCTTTTTTTATTTTTAAGTAAATTTTCGTAAAGTTTGGCAGGGATCAGGGGTATGGGGATGAATTATTTACAACTCCGCTGTAGAGAGTACGTCATTGGAGATTCCTTTTTTATGAGGTGAGTTTGGAAAGTTTTAAATTTGGAATATTGAGAACAAGAGAGGAAATACTTTCGCATATGGTTTACTTGAAATTGTAACATGTGGTTAGTATAAATACCAATTGTGTGTTACCAAATTATTCGTAAAAAATGCTTTTTCTAAATACGCCAATGAGCCACCCTCGTTCAATTCTAAAAAAATTGAGATATGATTAAAAATACTATTTGTGGATCTTTTAACCAGCCAGGGCAAGACACGAAAAATATTAGTCGATTAAATTTATTTTTCCAATGCTTCTTTATTAAAAATTAGTGTTTTTAACAAAGACGTGGCACTATACATTGAAATTTAAAATGCGGTTTTTTTAAGCGAGTATGTCAAAAGTTGACATATGATATGTCATTCTATTCAGAGTGTCGTTTTCTATCGAATTTAAAAATACTCAGGGTATCATTTAAAAATCAAAAGTTGTGGTAATTTTCGGTGAAACAGGAAGTGGCCAAAAACAATTGAATACGTCAAACAATCCTAATCAATAATCAAGCCGAACCATGCCGAATTTAAGTCATATACAGAAAAAGTAAAAAAGTTCATACGCAGTACATACACGGTACATCCTCATATATGGTTGAAAAATTCAATTATTTTTTGAATTTTAAACTTTAAAACATCAGTCGGTTAAAAATGCAATTTTAGAAGATTGCAATCTACCAGAAAAAGCTATCTTTTATGAATAGTCCCGTTAAAATTTTGCATCTCATACCGCTATAGCCTGGCCTGCACATTAAAACGTACGGTTGGGGATAATTTTCACCTTACAACATTAAAAGATAGCTTAAAACGACCACGGAATAAAGTAGCGCCGGTCATTAATATTCATTGCCCGGGGATTCACAGGGTTCTCGCCTTATTTATCTAGATAATTAAGAATTATTGCCTGTGTAAACACGAGTTCCTGGCAGATAAACTATACCTACGTGTTGAAATTAATGGGGAAAAATCCGTATTAGATTTTTTTGTACTTACGGCCTTCAAACATTTTTTGGTAAAAGCTATATTAGTATACATCAGGGTCCGATATTTTACAGGGTGGTTTTTCAAATATTTTTAAGGTAAAATGTTCATATTAGCAAATATTCTAAATTGCTTCGTTTTCGAGATACAGGGTGTTAAAAATTTCACAAAAAAAAAATCGTTTTTTCGTAATACCCCGGTATGCTCACCCCTATAACTTTTTTATTTTTTCAGATAAAACAACGAGATTTGATATATTTGTATATGCCATAAATTAGGATTGATTGACGTATTCAATTGTTTTCGGTTACTTCCTGTTTCGCCAGAAATTACTATAACTTTTGATTTTTATATGGCACTCTCTGTATTTTTTTACTTTATTCGATAGAAAATGACACTCTGAATAGAATGACATAATATCATGTCAACTTTTGACATTTTTGCTTAAAAAAAATCGCATTCTTCAAAACTGATCTATCTAACTTGAAGTGAAGATCTAAAAAAAAAGAAACTTGATTGAAATATTTTTGACCCTGTACATTCATTTAAGTAACTCAGAAAATTCATGGCCCAAATTAAAAACCAAACAGTGCAAATCAAAATTTCTATTTCTGTTTGCCCAACGACAAAGAAACAAAAAATTCTTTGGCCGAACCCCAGCCGCCGTTACAATAACGACGCGGCTGATCGAAAACAAACACCAAAAGAAAAACAAAAGAGAGACGAGAAACAAAAGCTTGTCGGAGCCGCCACCGCGACGAGCTTCGAGAGCTTTTGTTTTCTCGTGGCCTGTTGAATGCCAACGTTGGGGGCGCATCTAAATTGAAATCTACGCGCCCTGGCGACACAGTTGCCAACTAATTCTCATTACGCCTCTAACGCTACCTATTCTCCATTGTACCAATCGATTCCCAGATGAGGGGGGATGATAGAGGAAGAGGATGCGGAAGAAAACTGAGGTTATCGGTCTTTGTGTTGATTTATGCGACAGTTGTGGTTGTCTAATTTTGTAATGTATTTGATAATAAAGTTCTCCTACTCTGAGTGCTTTGAGAAGGCAATGAAAAAGCAAACGATCTAGCTAGAAAAGGAGCGAACACTCCACTAACTGGTTCAGCATTGTTCTGCTTTCCAAGTGAAAACCAATTTAAAGCGGTAATCATTTTCAGCTTATTCAACCATTTCCAATTATGGTGTAGCGTCCCTCACATACTCTCTTTGTAGTTGGACCCATTGTTGTCTATTGTTGGCTATGCGGGTCGAAGTTTTTTTTCTGGAGGTGTAAAATACCTTTACGTACGGAGTGTGGGACTCAATCTCTCCTTAAGCTGCCTGGAGGACACTACCCACTAAACATCACCCCCTCGCTCCTGCCACGTCTACCTGGACCCGCTGGACGCATCTCCTCAAGTAGACGCCGGACTGTTCTTTTTGTTTCAGACTCTTCGCTGTATTTTGCCTCTAGTATATTTTGGGCCAGTTTTGAGATGGCTTCAAAGTTTTCTCTTCTTTCTGTTACCGATTTTAAGAAGGTGTCTGCGGAGATGTTGCCACCAATCGTCATGCGTGCCTCACATCTTTCCTGTTCCCATCTTGGACAAGCAAACATTGTGTGTTCTGGAGTATCATTGGGTTCAGCACAGTATCGGCATTCCGCGACTTCCCTCTTTCCAATTTTACACAGGTAACTCCCAAAATTTCCGTGACCACTCAATATCTGAGTAAGATAGAAGTGTACCTCTCCATGCTTTCTTTTAATCCACATATTTATATTTGGGATGAGCTTATATGTCCATCTTCCTTTTTGCGATACTTCCCATACTGCCTGCTACTGCTGCACTGAGCGGTTTCTCTCCATCTCTCTGCTTGCCCTGGTTTGTACTTTACCCTTGAGAAAGAGTCGTTCTCTTTCTCTTGAGAGAAGATGCAAGGGCACCTGACCCTGTTATACCAAGTTATACCTGCTAATTTCCTAATATCATGGTCCCATCTCAGATTTGGTCTTCTCAGTCTCTTAATTTCTCGTGTGTATCATGCTGTAATTTTTGTGGCCCACCTGTCGTCTGTTCTTCTTTCCAGGTGTCCTGTCCATTGGCATTTAAGGGATTTGACTCTGGGGTGGATGCTCTGTGCATGCTAACTTAATTCTTCTGTTGATTTCTGGTAGCAGAGATCCCGAGCTGTGTATTGGTAATACTGTTATTTCTTTTATATCTGTTTTATTTGCCAAAAAAAATATTTACGTTTTGTCACGAAATAAACCATATAACAAAAAGAACGCTACTGTATTTATATACTTATCCTTTCATAATAAACTGAAAACAAAAAGGGATTATCGATTTCTCTTTTTGCAAACCTTGCCAAAAACAGACATCCCCTACGTCAACCGAAATTTTATCCTCAACCTCCCAAAATCGACATAGTTAGCGTCCTGCATATTATATAGTTTGCTGTCCCAATCCCTATAGGGTCTATTGGGACTCTAAAGTCAAGTTAACAATTTGACAGTAAAAGGGTCTTCCAAATCCTACCTACTCTTGGTCCCTAGCCCTTCGATAAAACCCTAAAAACCGAAAAAGGGACTCGCGACTAGGACAAATAAAAGCGTCTGCAATCACCCAAGGGACTTATAAAGTTTTTAACTGTTTTTGGTTCGTTATGGTTGACTCTTTTCTGTAGCTCAAGTAAAATTTAATTTTTTGTTTATTAATTTTATTTATATATTTTTATTTCTATTTTTTTGTTTTATATTATTTTTATTTTTTATTTTATACTCTTATTTTGTGTTTTTTTTATCTTGTTTTTTGGAATTTATTATATAAGTAACATTTTTTTATTATTTTGATACAGTTTAGGGTTAGAAATTACTTTCTATCTTAGCCATAATATATTTTTATTTTCCGTACATTCTTCATAATATTTTTGAGTATGATTGCTGCTTTATTTTGTCCCAGTTTTGGAGTGCATTTTCTATAAAAAAAATATTTGAATACTATGTATATGTTACGGTTAAAGTCCGATGTCCGGTTAATGTCGACATTAACATGTTAATGTTTGGGTTGGTCTCAACTGTAATATACATATTAGTCAGGCCATACTAGTAAAAAAAAATTGCAAAGTTCCTAATAACGAGAGAATTTTTTAGTATGTTCTAGGCCAAACTAAAACTGTCTCTAAATCTTTGAATAAGAAGACTAAGGAAGGAGCATAATGCTATCCATGTATTCGTGCATGGTGGGCGGAAAAAGAACTTTAGGGTGGGGATCCTTGACAGTTCTGTTTGACGATTCATTTGACACATTTGAATTTGATTTTAAATTTTGTGGATTTGTCAGTCTTTACGGAGCTTATTTTATGTTATTTATTCTACTACTGATAGTTGTATAAAGGTAGTAAATCTAGATGGAAATTGTGGCAGAACTTAAATTAGCAGTGACACTATCGCGATCTTTCGAAAAAGACTCTAAAATAATTGGATGTGTAGCGTGCGGTAGATCTCGGTAAAAATCGAGTGAAATAATGGAACAACTTTTCGCTAGTAAGTGACTATATAATAACATACGTGTAGTAAACCGATCATTTATGAAATTCACTTAAATTAACTAATTATATATTTTTTCTTGCATTTTTGCTTTTATTTACTACTTGTCAAAGACTAGATGTCAAACAATTTAGATACGTCAATTTGACTTACCTGCTTTAGTAGCGTGTCGGATGTTTGTGTTAATAAATAATTATTAAAATTTATCTATTTTTAATATAATAATATGTTTTTATAACAATTTTAATAACTACCAACATTTATTCACAACGTAAAATAAAAAAAAATATTGAGTCTACCCCACGTCTACCCTACATCATAGTGTTACATTTTTTAAATAA